TGGATGAGCGTGCTGCAGCTCAGCTACGCAGCAGATTTCCCCAAGCCAAGGGAGGCCCATCCCCCTCTGCTGTCACATCCTGTCTTTGACACTCACCAGCCTGCATATGACTTGACGAAACAATCCCCCAGTCAGATGGGAAGGCTGCTTGTCTCTTTTCTGCTGGAGGAGCTTCCTCTTCACAGGGAAGTACGTTAGCCAGTGGGGCGTGGGTCGGCGTTCCTTGAGCACCCCGTGCCTGGTGCAGCTTGGGCTTCTCGTGTCCTGCTCCTCCAGAGGATTCAGGAGCACTGGGGATGTCACTTCCACATGCACGTCAAAATCTCCGTCTGCCTCCAGTGCCTCAGGAGCCCTCGTGCCGGCCACATGTGCCTCGGTCACTGAGTGCTGGGAATACTCAGCCAAGGGAGAAGCTGCTGCATTTCCATTGTCTGCTCCTGGGGCAAGGGGGGCTGTTCCCACTTCTGTCCCAGGGGTGTCCGCCAATGCAGCTTCCCCTTGTTCTTCATGTGCTTCTGGGAAAACAGTGGCTCCGCTGTGCTTTTGCTGAGATATTGCACCCACAGGAGGGTCAGCTCTTGCAGGCAAAATTGACACTTGACGGGTTTTGTTTGCCACCAGATGTTTCACTCGCTGCTGGCTGGTTTCCTGGAGCAAAGCTACACCTTGGCCTAGAGGCTTCTCTTTCCCCATGGCTGTCACCTGCGGAACTCTGTTTGCTTTGGTGCTCTGTACGGCAGGTGCCTGTCTCCATGCATGAGTCGGTGCCTTCCGCTTGTCAAAGCCAGGGGAGGCTCGTGCCGGTGTCACAGGAGGGAGAGGTGCCTGGTGCTGAGCAGCAGCCGTGTGAAGCTGCCGCCGTCTGGTGCCTGCACTGCTGATGTTCATGACGGTGGCGCCGCCAGAAGCTGCAGAGGCTGCTGGTATCACAGGCGGCAGCCTGTAGCAGCGGGTGCCCGGCCTCCCTGGGCGAGGTGGTGGCTGCGGTGCCGTATTCACCAACAGTGGCACACCAAGTGTCTGCTCCTGTCTCGACTCGCTCATGCGAGGCAGCACCGCTTGGTGCCGCAGCCTGCCCATCTGCAAGAGAAGCCAAGGAGAGAGGCTGTGTGACAGTGTCCCTTGTGCCCACGTCCCAGCTGGCTGAGCTCGGACAGAAGGGCCCCCTGCCAGCTGCAGGGCAGGGCTCAGCCCCGCAGGCAGCTGCCGCCTGCTCCCAGAGCTGGCTGGGGAGAGGGCTGTCCCCCCGCAGCCCACGGCCACTGCCCAGAGCACCCCCAGCTTGACCGGGCCGCCTGCGGGGCACGGCACAGGGGGCTCAGCTTACTCTCTTCTGCACCTCCCGCCTTCCCCTCAGCAGCTGCCGGGCTCAGGAGGACGTTTGGCTCCGTCTCCCTGGGGCTCCCTACCTGTGCCTGCTGGGTGACCATAGGCCGAGTCCTCTCTGAGTAGCACAGCTGTGGCAGCGTGATCCCATGGTGGGATGATGCCTGGCTCGTGCTGCCCTGCGGCACTTCCTCGGGCTTCCTCTGGGCCACCTGCGGGCAGGAGGAGGAGGAAGAGGCGTGTGATGGAGGAGGCTTCCTTGGCACAGCAGCCCCCCGAGTGCTGGCAAGCCCGGGCCTGGCACCGAGGCAGCCCCGTCCCGCCACCGGCCTCTCCCTCCTGCCCCACCCCTCACCTGGCGCCTTCTCTGCTGGCTTGGCCTGCCCTCAGCGGGCTGGGAACGGGCGTTTGCCTCTTTACCCATGGGCATCTTCCACGTCCTGGGACGCTGAACTGCCGTAGGCTTCCAGGGAAATTGCTGCCTCCTGAGGGAGGCTGCTCCTCTGCACTGAGGTACTCCAGGGCTCTCCCTCCTTATGTACCCCACGGTCAACATGGTGTCATCCCCCGTCACAATGGCATCTGGGCACGTGAGCCCCCCCCACATCACAAAGTCCCGGCTGTCGCCATGGAGATGCCCAGCCCCGTGACTGTTCCCAACCGGTCCCAAACAGTGACTGGCATCTCCATAGCGACCACTGAGGCTTTGTCATGTTGGCACCATTGTGCCCAGTGGCCATGCCACACCATGGCTGCTCTGGGCAATCATAGAGTCAACTAGGTTGGAAAAGACCTTTCAGATCATCAAATCCAACCCCTTCCCAGCACTGCCAGTGCCACCGCTAACCCATGTCACCGAGGGCCTCTTCTACTTGGCGTGTGAACTCTTCCAGGGGTGGTGACTCCATCGTTGCCCTGGACAGCCTGTTTCAATGCCTGACTACACCTGAAGAAATGCTTAATAATCTCCAGCCTATACCTCCCTTGGTGCACCTTGAGGCTTGTTGCTCTTCTTCTATCTCTTGTTCCTTGGGAGAAGAGACCAGGCACCTCCTGGCTTCAGCCTCCTTTCAGGTAGCTGTAGAGAGCGATAATTTCCCCCTTGAGCCTTCTCCAGACTAAATCCCCCCAGGTCCCTCAGCCGTTCTTCATCACACTTGTGCTCCATACCCTTCATCGGCTCTATTGCCCTTCTCTGGAGCTGCTCCAACGCCTGGCGGGTGCATCTGTGCTATTGTTCATTTCACAGTTTGCCATGCCACGAGTTTGGTATGTTTTTTTTTAGTTTTATCGCTTTGTTGACGGGCAGGGGTGACTATAGTTTTGTATTTTCACCTTTACCCAGTATTTTACCTTACAGTTCACTTAAATATTTTCATTCCTTTTGCAAACATAGTTTAAAAGAAAGGGCACTATTTTAGCCCATGGTTACATAAATTTGGTCTGTGAAAATGTGAAAATCCTAAATTTATATCTTCACAGAATGCAGAAAGAAGTTTGCTGAAAAGGCAACTTTACAGTCGGCAAGTCTTTCACTATGTGAAAGAGCTGTTACCCTCTCTGGAAGGTGTCTTCTCTCTCCTTTATTCTGTGCACATGAGAAATGGATCTATATAACTAAAGTAATAATAATCCTCTGTGGCATTTCGACATTTGGCATACTTGAGTTAAAGTCCGAGCAGAAATTACCAGCATTAAAAGTAAATGCACTTAAATTTGTGCAGAGCCTGAAAATAGCACTTCTAGATACAAGTATTTTAGCCTATTTGAAGTCTGATTTATCAGTTTTGGCAGTGTTGAAGACAGGGGAACTTCCAGCATGGTTAGAGCCTGTGAAAACGGCACAGGGCAAAGGCAGTGTAACAAAGTTTGCAGCTTTTCGATTCCCACATGTAAATTATTTCTATTACCAGTACTTATAATCTAAAACCGTAACTTTCTGAAACCTTGAGACTTAAGGAATCATGTTGATGTGAAAGAGCAAGAGTCTGAAGCCATTTCAGTTGTTGCCTGTATATCGTCTATTACATACTCTATTGCTGTTTAAAGCGGTTCTAGCATATTTCAGTAGCTAGCAGGAACATTGTCACCTCTAAGTGTATGTTCTGCTAAGAGAAACCAAACATCCTTAGTAACTTCCTTGCTGTTCTTGTGTTCTGTTTGCTAAATGCCTACTTTCAATTGAGTAAGGTAACATTTACTTTATTTTTCTCTTACTTGTCATTGCCAGTTCCTGCAAGCAGGTGGTAATTTCCTTTGCAGCTTCAGGAACAAGAGAATAAACAGTTGCTAAGTACTGGTGTGGTTTTACTTGGCAGATGCTTCCCCACTCCAAACTGTAATTTTGCAACACTACAGTTTTTAGGCAATCTCTAAGAACAACACACCATTGATTTGTTAGAACACTGTTTAATTGTGCTACATAGGAATGTAGACGCAAATTTTACAACCTTCCCTGCAAGGAAAATTATTAATAAATAATCTTCATCTTTTACAATGAGTCCTTTTTGAAAATCACTGGGAAAATTATTTTACTTCATTGTTGTAGGATCATACACCTTTGTATATCTTTAAGCTAGGGTGTTCTTCAGTTCTTCATCTGAGCAGTCTTAACATCTTTATTAAGCTATATCTTGCTTGCTGGTAGTTTTTCAACCTCTACCATGGTTGTGTTTGTCTGAAAATGATACTTAGCAGTGGAAACAAGAACAGCTGAATCCTGTGTAGTTTATTCACATGAATAAGTGGTTCCACTTATTTCTGCTATTGCATCAAGTCAAAAGAACCCAAAGCTCAAGATCAAAAGATGATCTTTCTTCTCCAGCTTTGCATCCTGACAAATTCTAATGTAGATGCAGACACAATTTTATGTATTAGAATTTTCAAAACTATCTACATACAGGTACGTCTGAAATACAGCTTTATATTCACTAAAACTAGATTTTGTCTGTCTAGATTTAATTGTGCAAAGTGTTATTAGAGTTCAACGGTATATTACTTATAAAGGGATTGATCCATAATGACGTTTATTTGTCATGCAGAGAGTCTAGTTTGTATTAATTTTTGTCTAGTGGATACAGTTTGGCTCTTCCACATCACAGTAAATGAGGCAAAATGGGGTGTGGTGTGACCTTTACAAGCTGAGCAGACTTCCTTAGTGAAGTTTAGTTACCACTTTCTGCTGTTTCATGTGCCACTCTTCAAGTTCTCATACATTGCTGGAGGAACTAGCTATTTATAAGGAAATCTTATGGAGAAACATAAGAATTTATCCTTCTGCAGGCTGGGTGGAGTGTGCTGTTACATGCAATGAGGCTGATTTCAGTCAACAGAACGAAACAGGGTTGTACTTTGGCACGGTACATATATATGTATTGCTTCCCTTTGGTGCTGGGGGTGTGTGGGGTGTCTGTGTGTGTGTGTGTGTGTGTCTGCGTGCGTGAGTGGGTGAGTGGGTCTTTTCCAACCTAGTTGACTCTATGATTGCCCAGAGCAGCCATGGTGTGGCATGGCCACTGGGCACAATGGTGCCAACATGACAAAGCCTCAGTGGTCACTATGGAGATGCCAGTCACTGTTTGGGACCGGTTGGGAACAGTCACGGGGCTGGGCATCTCCATGGCGACAGCCGGGACTTTGTGATGTGGGGGGGGCTCACGTGCCCAGATGCCATTGTGACGGGGGGTGACACCATGTTGACCGTGGGGTACATAAGGAGGGAGAGCCCTGGAGTACCTCAGTGCAGAGGAGCAGCCTCCCTCAGGAGGCAGCAATTTCCCTGGAAGCCTACGGCAGTTCAGCGTCCCAGGACGTGGAAGATGCCCATGGGTAAAGAGGCAAACGCCCGTTCCCAGCCCGCTGAGGGCAGGCCAAGCCAGCAGAGAAGGCGCCAGGTGAGGGGTGGGGCAGGAGGGAGAGGCCGGTGGCGGGACGGGGCTGCCTCGGTGCCAGGCCCGGGCTTGCCAGCACTCGGGGGGCTGCTGTGCCAAGGAAGCCTCCTCCATCACACGCCTCTTCCTCCTCCTCCTGCCCGCAGGTGGCCCAGAGGAAGCCCGAGGAAGTGCCGCAGGGCAGCACGAGCCAGGCATCATCCCACCATGGGATCACGCTGCCACAGCTGCGCTACTCAGAGAGGTCTCGGCCTATGGTCACCCAGCAGGCACAGGTAGGGAGCCCCAGGGAGACGGAGCCAAACGTCCTCCTGAGCCCGGCAGCTGCTGAGGGGAAGGCGGGAGGTGCAGAAGAGAGTAAGCTGAGCCCCCTGTGCCGTGCCCCGCAGGCGGCCCGGTCAAGCTGGGGGTGCTCTGGGCAGTGGCCGTGGGCTGCGGGGGGACAGCCCTCTCCCCAGCCAGCTCTGGGAGCAGGCGGCAGCTGCCTGCGGGGCTGAGCCCTGCCCTGCAGCTGGCAGGGGGCCCTTCTGCCCGAGCTCAGCCAGCTGGGACGTGGGCACAAGGGACACTGTCACACAGCCTCTCTCCTCGGCTTCTCTTGCAGATGGGCAGGCTGCGGCACCAAGCGGTGCTGCCTCGCATCAGCGAGTCGAGACAGGAGCAGACACTCGGTCTGCCACTGTTGGTGAATACGGCACCGCAGCCACCACCTCGCCCAGGGAGGCCGGGCACCCGCTGCTACAGGCTGCCGCCTGTGATACCAGCAGCCTCTGCAGCTTCTGGCGGCGCCACCGTCATGAACAACAGCAGCGCAATTACCAGACTGCGGCAGCTTCACGCCGCTGGTGCTCACTTCCAGGCACCTCTCCCTCCTGTGACACCGGCACGAGCCTCCCCTGGCTTTGACAAGCGGAAGGCACCGACACACGCATGGAGACAGGCACCTGCCGTGCAGAGCACCAAAGTAGACACAGTTCCGCAGGTGACAGCCATGTGGAAAGAGAAGCCTCTAGGCCAAGGTGTAGCTTTGCTCCAGGAAACCAGCCAGCAGCGAGTGAAACATGAGGCGTCAAAGAAAAGCTGTCAAATGTCAATGTCGCCTGCAAGAGCTGACTCTCCTGTGGGTGCAATACCTCAGCAAAAGCCCAGCGGAGCCACTGTTTTCCCGGGAGCACATGAAGAACAAGGGGAAGCTGCGTTGACGGACATCCCTGGGACAGAAGTTGGAACAGCCCAGCTTGCCCCACGAGCAGACAATGGAAATGCAGCAGCTTCTCCCTTGGCTGAGTACTCCTGGCACTCAGTGACCAAGGCACATGTGGCCGGCACCAGGGCTCCTGAGGCACTGGAGGCAGACACAGATTTTGACACGCATGTGGAAGTAACATCCCCGGTGTTCCTGAATCCTCTGGAGGAGCAGGACAGGAGAAGGGCATGCTACACCAGGCCCGCGGTGCCCAAGGAACGCCGACCCACAACCCACTGGATAAAGTACTTCCTTGCAAAGAAGAAGCTCCTCCAGCAGAAAACACAAAAGCAGGGCTCCCGTCCGATGCGGAGATTGCTTTGTGAAGTCAACTACAGGATTGTGAGTGCCAAGGACAGGAAGGGAGAGCACAGGGGGATGAACCTCCCTCGGCTTGGGGACAGCTGCTGCGCTGCTGAGCTGCAGCACGCTCATCCCCTTCATCCTGCTTGTGTGATTACAGGAGAAACTGGGGGTCCTGGTCGAGGAGGACGAGGAGGAGGATCTGAAAGAGGACTGGAAAGATGACAGCGACAAAAGGCATCAGGAAGAGACGACAACAGCAGACGTACGCCCAGCTGCTGAGAAAGAGGAGCTCCGAGCACTTCTCAGTGCAGTAGCGCAAGAGGAGGAGGCACCAGCACCAGTGCCCCCTGACTCTGACGAGCAGGACTCAGAAGCAGAGACACAGAGAAAGGTATTTGCCCTGATCAGGCCCACTCCTGCTGAGCTGGTTCTCCAGGAAACAGCCAAGAGCGTAATGAGCAATGTCCTGGACAAGGCTTTGGCTGTCTTCCAGGAAACGGATGAGCAGCCGCAGGAAGAGTGGGACATTGACCAAAGCTGTGTGGATGTGACAATGCCAGCAATGAGGCCTGCAGCCGTTCAGGGCACTGAGTCTCCAGTGCCTGCACAGCTTCAGGCAAAGCCCAGCAAAAAAACCCTCCTAACAGTGGCATATGAGGGCGAAGAAGAAATGGCATCTCCCATGTCTGGAGACCAACAAGAAGAGACCAGCAAAGCTGCTATCTTCCCGGCAGCAGGCGAGGAAAAAGTCACAGCTTCCCTGACAGAGATCCCTGGGGCAGAGGCTGTGACACCCCACCTTGCGCCAGGAACAGACAAAGGAGATGCCACCGCTTCTCCCTTGGCTCAGGTCTCACAGCACCTAGTGACAGAGGCGCATGTGACTGGCAACACCGACGCTGAGATGCAGGAGGCAGGTGCCTCCCTGGCGCTGCTTGTGGCAGGGAGATTCCTGGTGCTCCCCGTAACAGAGCTCCCCAAGGAGCAGGTGAGTGCCAAGGACAAGATGGGGCAGAACAGGGGGATGAGCCTCCCTCTGCCTGGGGACAGCTGCTGCGCTGCAGAGCTTCAGCCCACTCATCCCCTACATCCTGCTTGTGTGATTACAGGAGAAAGTGGGCGTCTCAGTCGAGGAGGAGGAGGAGGATGAGAAAGAGGAGTGGAAAGATGCCAGCGACAAAAGACATCAGGAAGAGACGACAACAGCAGACGTATGCCCAGCTGCTGAGAAAGAAAAGCTCCGAGCACTTCTCAGTGCAGTAGCGCAAGAGGAGGAGGCACCAGCACCAGTGCCCCCTGACTCTGACGAGCAGGACTCAGAAGCAGAGGCACAGAGAAAGGTATTTGCCCTGCTCAGGCCCACTCCTGCTGAGCTGGTTCTCCAGGAAACAGCCAAGCGCGTAATGAGCAATGTCCTGGACAAGGCTTTGGCTGTCTTCCAGGAAACGGATGAGCAGCCGCAGGAAGAGTGGGACATTGACCAAAGCTGTGTGGATGTGACAATGCCAGCAATGAGGCCTGCAGCCGTTCAGGGCACTGAGTCTCCAGTGCCTGCACAGCTTCAGGCAAAGCCCAGCAAAAAAACCCTCCTAACAGTGGCATATGAGGGCGAAGAAGAAATGGCATCTCCCATGTCTGGAGACCAACAAGAAGAGACCAGCAAAGCTGCTATCTTCCCGGCAGCAGGCGAGGAAAAAGTCACAGCTTCCCTGACAGAGATCCCTGGGGCAGAGGCTGTGACACCCCACCTTGCGCCAGGAACAGACAAAGGAGATGCCACCGCTTCTCCCTTGGCTCAGGTCTCACAGCACCTAGTGACAGAGGTGCATGTGACCGGCACCACCGACCCTCAGGTGCAGGAGGCAGGTGCCTCCCTGGCGCTGCTTGTGGCAGGGAGATTCCTGGTGCTCCCCATAACAGAGCTCCCCAAGGAGCAGGTGAGTGCCAAGGACAAGATGGGGCAGAACAGGGGGATGAGCCTCCCTCTGCCTGGGGACAGCTGCTGCGCTGCAGAGCTTCAGCCCACTCATCCCCTACATCCTGCTTGTGTGATTACAGGAGAAAGTGGGTGTCTCAGTCGAGGAGGAGGAGGAGGATGAGAAAGAGGAGTGGAAAGATGCCAGTGACAAAAGACATCAGGAAGAGACGACAACAGCAGACGTATGCCCAGCTGCTGAGAAAGAAAAGCTCCGAGCACTTCTCAGTGCAGTACCGCAAGAGGAGGAGGCACCAGCACCAGTGCCCCCTGACTCTGACGAGCAGGACTCAGAAGCAGAGACACAGAGAAAGGTATTTGCCCTGCTCAGGCCCACTCCTGCTGAGCTGGTTCTCCAGGAAACAGCCAAGAGCGTAATGAGCAATGTCCTGGACAAGGCTTTGGCTGTCTTCCAGGAAACGGATGAGCAGCCGCAGGAAGAGTGGGACATTGACCAAAGCTGTGTGGATGTGACAATGCCAGCAATGAGGCCTGCAGCCGTTCAGGGCGCTGAGTCTCCAGTGCCCGCACAGCTTCAGGCAAAGCCCAGCAAAAAAACCCTCCTAACAGTGGCATATGAGGGCGAAGAAGAAATGGCATCTCCCATGTCTGGAGACCAACAAGAAGAGACGAGCAAAGCTGCTATCTTCCCGGCAGCAGGCGAGGAAAAAGTCACAGCTTCCCTGACAGAGATCCCTGGGGCAGAGGCTGTGACACCCCACCTTGCGCCAGGAACAGACAAAGGAGATGCCACCGCTACTCCCTTGGCTCAGGTCTCACAGCACCCAGAGACCGAAGCGCATGTGACCGGCACCACCGACCCTCAGGTGCAGGAGGCAGGTGCCTCCCTGCCGCTGCTTGTGGCAGGGAGATTCCTGGTGCTCCCCATAACAGAGCTCAAGGAGCAGGTGAGTGCCAAGGACAGGATGGGACAGCACAGGGGGATGAGCCTCCCTCTGCCTGGGGACAGCTGCTGCGCTGCTGAGCTGCAGCCCGCTCATCCCCTGCATCCCGCTTGTGTGATTACAGGAGGAACTGGGGACTGAAAAGGAGGAGGTAAAGAAGGAGGAACAGGAGAAAGAGCAGGAATGGGAAAAGGACACAGATGAAGAGCTGTCCCAGCTGAATGATCTGAAGCTGGTCACCAACTGCAACATCTGGCTCAAAGCCTTGGTCCGGGAAGTGGACGTTCCAACCGTACAGGACATTAATGTCAACCCTTGGGTGCCAAAGCTCTTCCAAGCCACCCTCACGCCTTCTCAGGAGGGGTCCACCTGCCCCAGCAGCGTGGACACGGATGTGGCAGGAGAGGCAGCTGGAGACCTGCAAAGTGGCTCTCCTGCCCCCTCTGGTTCCACAGGCACCGAGCCGGCAGCTCTGGCCCTGCCTGGAGCTGCTGAGGAAGAGCAGCACCGCGCACCTCACGCTGCTGTGGCACAAGAAGAGGAGGAAGCAGCGGCATCGTCTTCCCATGTCTTTGATGAGCAGGAGTCAGAAGCAGAGGCACAGAGAAAGGCATTTGCCCTGCTCAGCCCCACTGCTGCTGAGCTGGTTTTCCGGGAAACAGCCAGGCGCGTCATGAGCGATGTCCTGCACAAGGCTTTGGCTGTCTTCCAGGAAATGGATGAGCAGCCTCTGAAACAGGAGGACATGGCACAAAGCCATGTGAATGTGATAACGGCATCAATAAGGCCTGCAGAGCTTCAGGACATAGAGAGCTCTGTGGCTGCAGAGCCGCTGGCAGAAGCCAGCATGGATGAGCAGCGGACACTAATACAGGCCCAGGCAGAGGCACCTGCCCCGCAGCAGGTCACAGCTGTTGGCACAGCTGTGCAGGCTGCAGTCTGTCAGCAAGTCAGGAGAGCACCTAAGAAGCAACACGGAAAGGCCATCACAGATGTTGCCTCCCCACCATTACAGAAGGATAAACTGGCAGGGTCACCTGCCAGTGTTCAGGACACCAAGGAGCCAGGTACGTCCCTGAACCAAGTGGCACCCAGGCGAGGCCGGCAGCAGCCTGTGCACAAGTTCGGCCGTGCCCCAGCCTCCCCTCTCTGCGTGAGTGCTGAAAGCCTTCGTTGGAAAGCCGAAGGCCTTGGTGGCGGGTGGCAGCAGGAGCTTGCCCGCTGGTCGCCCAGCCCCACACCTACAGCCTTACTTTC